GTCGTTCTGATTTTGTTCTGTCTCTGTCTAGGAACACCCTCTTGTACTCTTCCGAGTATTTCAATCGTGGTTTCTCTTGGAGGATCCTGTTCCGCACTGTTTCCGTCCTGAGAATCAGCTTGATTGGTCGGTTTCTCACCTTCGAGTACCCCCCTATTCTCTGAAAATTTACAATCTCGTCCCTCTCTTCACCTATTTCTGTTATGATTTTCTCAATCTCCTTCCTTTTCTTCCTGCTTCCTTTCAGTGGTGTGTCCTTTCCTCTCTCTCCTGAAGCCCATGGATAAACACTGATTTTGCCCTTTCTTTTCCTCGCATTGCCTCACCCTCTGTGGCTCTGGATCCTGCCTGTATGTGGTCAGTTTCTCCCTTGATTTTCCAGTGGCTCTTGATAGCCTTGTTGTGCCTCAGCATTCGACCTATCACCCTCTCCATCTGCAACCGTTGATCTTTCCCTTTCACTCCTTGGTCCTCCTTGGCAGATTGATGTGACCTTAGCATAATTCATAATTCCTTCCTTCCTGTTCAGCTTCGCAGCTTCATATGCTGTGTCTTCTCTTGGTCACTGCCCCTGTAACTCGCTCCAGCCTATTTATCTCAACTTCTAGGACCCTTATCTTGGCTACTGCAGTTTCGACTTGTGCCTCCCAATTCTTTGTCTCCTTCTCCAACCACCTTTCCAATTTCACAGAGAGCTCTTTCTCCATTTTTTCAGAAAGCTCTCCTAATTTTCTCTCCCACTCTGTTCCATCCTTTTCCACTGCTCCTCCATCCACTCCTCCCTACCCGAACCATTCTCATCTGATCCTTGGGTCCTGCGAGTCCCCACCATTTTTTTTTTTTTTTTTTTTTTTTTTTTTTTTTTTTTTTTTTTTTTTTTTTTTTTGTTTGTGTGTGTGTGTGTGTGTGTGTGTGTGTGTGTGTACTCTCCTATTTGTACTCACCTATTTGTGGTTGCAGGGTCGATTCATAGCTCCTGGCCCCGCCTCTTCACTGATTGCTACTAGGTCCTCTCTCTCCCTGCTCCATGAACTTTATAATACCTCGCCTTAAAGAACATTAAAATGGTATAAAATACCGACAGATTGTTAGGTAAGACACATATGCAACAGTTAGGTATCTTTATTTCGAAACGTTTCGCCTACACAGTAGGCTTCTTCAGTCGAGTACAGAAAAGTTGATAGAAGCAGAAGATACTTGAAGACGATGTAATCAGTCCATCACCCTTAAAGTTTTGAGGTGGTCAGTCCCTCAGTCTGGAGAAGAGCATTGTTCCGTTGTCTGAAACAATATGAACCTTTTCTGTACTCGACTGAAGAAGCCTACTGTGTAGGCGAAACGTTTCGAAATAAAGATACCTAACTGTTGCATATGTGTCTTACCTAACACCTCGCCTTAAAACTATGTATGGTTCCCGCCTCCACTACTTCACTTTCTAGGCTATTCCACTGCCTGACAACTCTATGACTGAAGAAATACTTCCTAACATCCCTTTGATTCATCTGAGTCTTCAACTTCCAATTGTGACCTCTTGTGTCTGTGTCCCATCTCTGGAACATCCTGTCTTTGTCCACCTTGTCTATTCTGCGCAGTATTTTATATGTCGTTATCATGTCTCCCCTGACCCTCCTGGCCTCCAGTGTCGTCAGGCCGATTTCCCTCAACCTTTCTTCGTAGGACAATCCCCGTAGCTCTGGGACTAGTCTTGTTGCAAACCTTTGCACTTTCTCTAATTTCTTGACGTGCTTGACCAGGTGTGGATTCCAAACTGGTGCTGCATACTCCAGTATGGGTCTGACGTAAATGGTATACAGAGTCTTGAACGACTCGTTACTGAGGTATCGGAACGCTATCCGTAGGTTTGCCAGGCGCCCGTATGCTGCAGCAGTTATCTGATTGATGTGCGCCTCGGGAGATATGCTCGGTGTAAGTTTTCCTCTCTAGGTTGTTTTGTAGTTTTTAAACGATTAGAGAACTGCTATTAAACAAACACACACACACACACACACACACACACACACACACACACACACACACACACACACACACACTCACACACACACACACACACACTCCTACAGAGAGTGTTAACTGTGACGGATCATGGTAAAACAGTGATAACTAGCTTGTTAGTACTGGATTTAGGGTCTGGAAATTAACTCAGTGTTGTCAGGAAGTACGAACGTGTGTACATGTTGTGTGTGTACATGTGCACGAAGCAGTGTTGTGTGTGTACATGTGCACGAAGCAGCGTTGTGTGTGTGCACATGTGCACGAAGCAGTGTTGTGTGTGTACATGTGCACGAAGCAGTGTTGTGTGTGTACATGTGCACGAAGCAGTGTTGTGTGTGCACATGTGCACGAAGCAGTGTTGTGTGTGTACATGTGCACGAAGCAGTGTTGTGTGTGTACATGTGCACAAAGCAGTGTTGTGTGTGTACATGTGCACGAAGCAGTGTTGTGTGTGTACATGTGCACAAAGCAGTGTTGTGTGTGTACATGTGCACGAAGCAGTGTTGTGTGTGTACATGTGCACAAAGCAGTGTTGTGTGTGATACATGTGCACAAAGCAGTGTGTGTGTGTACATGTGCACGAAAGCAGTGTTGTGTGTGTACATGTGCACAAAGCATGTGTTGTGTGTGAGCATGTGAGTCACGAAGCAGTGTTGTGTGTGTACATAATCTGGAGCCTCCACCTGGCGGAGGCCCTGGACTGCAGTCCCTGGAGACTCTCGAGCTGGCGGAAGCCCCTGGACTGCAGTCCCTGGAGACTCTCCAGCTGGCGGAGGCCCCTGGACTGCAGTCCCTGGAGACTCTCAGCTGGCGGAAGGCCCCTGGACTGCAGTCCCTGGAGACCCTCCAGCTGGCGGAGGCCCCTGGACTGGTCCCTGAGACCTCCACTGCGGAGCCCCTGGACTGCAGTCCTAGACTCCAGCGCGGAGGCCCCTGGACTGCAGTTCCTGGAGACTCTCCAGCCGGCGGAGGCCCCTGGACTGCAGTCCCTGGAGACCCTCCAGCTGGCGGAGGCCCCTGGACTGCAGTCCCTGGAGACCCTCCAGCTGGCGGAGGCCCCTGGACTGCAGTCCCTGGAGACTCCAGCCGTGAGGCCCCTGGACTGCAGTCCTGGGGACCTCCACTGGCGGAGGCCCCTGGACTGCAGTCCCTGGAGACCCTCCAGCTGGCGGAAGCCCCTGGACTGCAGTCCCTGGAGACCCTCCAGCTGGCGGAGGCCCCTGGACTGCAGTCCCTGGAGACTTTCCAGCCGGTGGAGGCCCCTGGACTGCAGTTCCTGGAGACTCTCCAACTGGCGGAGGCCCCTGGACTGCAACCCCCGGAGACCCTCCAGCTGACGGAAGCCCCTGGACTGCAGTTCCTGGAGACCCTCCAGCTGACGGAAGCCCCTGGACTGCAGTCCCTGGAGACTTTCCAGCCGGTGGAGGCCCCTGGACTGCAGTTCCTGGAGACTCTCCAGCCGGCGGAGGCCCCTGGACTGCAGTCCATAAAGATCATACCTTAATCCCGCCCTGTCTGTGACTAACTTAATGTTTGTACCTGCACACATATGAGCCACAACAATCGACCAGGTTTTTCTGCATTGCGAGTCATAATTATTATAACACACACCTTTTTATGTCTATGTAACAAGATTTTGAAGTTTTATCAGTTAGTATTTTTATCTGTTAAGGATTTTATGCCAGTTTTTATCTGTGGTAATTTTTTTTTAAATTCCAGCAGTTGAGAACGTAATATCAAACATGTCTGACGTGGAAATTAAAGTTGTTTATTATAGTGGCGTAAGTTTTAAGTCGAAATTCAAGGAATTTTACGATGGCCTTCCTTCTTTTTTCAAAATAGCAAATAAATCTTCTGTGGAACTGAAGTTCTACTCTGAAGTTCAACTCGTTAAGTTTATATCCAGTGGGAGAGAATATTTCTCTTCTGTATGTTAAACAGAGTAAATCGTATTTTTTTTTTCTTTTTTTTTTTTGGTATAACTGGTTTTAAGTTGTCTTTACACTGCCGATGTGTGTTTTTGTATCCCTCAGTGGTCATCTGACCCCTAACTACCACCTGGACAACTACTACTACCACCGTAACTACCACCAGGACAACCACTACCAACATCGTAACTACCACCATGTAACTACCACCAGGGTCACCCATCACACTACTAATAACCACAACAACTGTTATTCTAAATACTTGTGTGGTGGCTAAACAGAGGTAACGGTGACTCTACTGTCTCTTAAGTGTCACTGTGTCAAGGCTGCTGCAAGGCACTGTTGTGGCACTGAAGCACTGTATGAAGCAAGGTAGGTGACGTAACACTAACTGTAGTGGTGCGTTCAGTCATCTGGCCTTCACTAAGGTAACAGTAGTGGTGCGTTCAGTCATCTGGCCTTCACTAAGGTAACAGTAGTGGTGCGTTCAGTCATCTGGCCTTCACTAAGGTAACAGTAGTGGTGCGTTCAGTCATCTGGCCTTCACTAAGGTAACAGTAGTGGTGCGTTCAGTCATCTGGCCTTCACTAAGGTAACAGTAGTGGTGCGTTCAGTCATCTGGCCTCACTGAGGTAACTGCAGAAAGTGTATCTAAGTGCTGCCAGACCTCCAGTAAACACTGTGTTTTATTAAACAATGTATTATTAACTGGATATTTATGAATGTTCTATTTATTTTGCGAAAATGATGTGTTCCTGCATGCTCATGTACACATAGGTATACATGTACGCATGGAATCCCCCGAACGCACGCACACAAACACACACAGGTTAATGTCTCTCGGTGTGTTTACACTGAGAGTTCGCTCTAAATCTCTATTTAAGACAATACAATAATCCCAGATAGGTGAGAGGTGACATATGACCTTTGACCCTAGTGCAGTAGATAGCCTTCAAACTTAATAACCCCCCCATCCAATCATTGTTTTTTTTTTTAATCTTAGGCGTATAGAAATCTTAAAAAAAAATGTCGAAAGCAATAAGCTGTGGAGTGACTTACCTCCATAAATGAGGAAAAAGAGGAGTTTGATAGGGATAAATTCTTTGGTAATGAGATCAGCCCAGAAGCGCTTGGCCCAGGCTGGCGTCTGCATGATGCTGGTGCGGCGACGGCTGCTCAACCTGCCGATGGAAAGTGACCGGTCAGGACACGGAAAGTTGACTGGCATTCTTGTGTCATTCTGCTTCCAGTGAACTTGTAGTTATTACATCACTGCTGGTCGGCCACATTATAGTTATTACCAGCACTGTAAGTCTTATTATAAGTGTTATCATTCATGGTTAAATTATAGGTGTTCTTATTAATATGGTTAAGTTACAGACACTCATCATGTAAAGATTTACAGCGAGGTGAGCACCCTCGACCCTCTCCGTCTCTGCCTAGCCATTAAGGGAGTCACAGGAAGTCTGTCCAGAGACCTCATTGTCTGGTTCTTGCGTGATGGCACTCTGGCTGGTACTCCAGAACCCCTGCTGGAGAGCTCAGCATCCAAGCTTAGATTGCTGTACTCTAGATAGCAATGCAGAACTCGTACAAGAGGATATAAGGGTAATAAAAGCACTCAGAATGAATCTAGGGCTTTCCCTAAAACCGTGAGAATGTTAAGCAGTTTCAAGCAACAGATTATTGACCGGGTGCACCAGGCATGAAGCCGGTTGACAGCACTCTCCTTCGTACTCCTCTCGGCTCAGCATCACTAACCTGTGATAAATGGTTTTGTCTCAATCTTCATCACTAACCTGTTGGCCTTCTATCTTGATAAAATAAATGGAAGGTAGTATGGAACATAGTAATGCACATGCCTTCTGCCTACTCATCAGATGACTGTCCCTCCCAAAACTCACCTGATTTTGCGATGCTCAATGCAAAGATGTAACAGTAGCTCCATCTATTGCATTTGCATTTATCATAAATTCAGACCATGTTACCATTAACTGAAACACACACACACACACAAACACACACACACACACACACACACACACACACACACACACACACACACACACACACACACACACATACACACACACATACAAGGTCAGGTGGGCGAGTCCACAAATTCCACCAGTGTTTCCTCTTACCACAAAGATTTTATCCACATGATTTAATAAAAGATGGATTACAAGAAGGAAACACTGGTATACAAGATGTAGTAGTAAGTACTACAGCACACTGCACAATACATACACAATACCCACAATACATACACTGCACAACAATACATACACAATACCCACAATACATACACTGCACAATACATACACAATACCCACAATACATACACAATACCCACAATACATACACTGCACAATACATACACAATACCCACAATACATACACAATACCCACAATACATACACAATACCCACAATACATACACTGCACAATACACAATACTTAATAAAATTTCTTCACAGTATGAAACATGACTTGATAAATCTCTACACAGAGTGTGACATAAAAGGAGAAAGCTCTACATAGAGCAAAACGTCGTCTCAGTAGAAGCTCTCTCCTTGCAGCCGGTGACTTTACTCCCCTCTTCCCTGGAGCTAAACATTAGGATTCACGTGTTAAAGTGTTCTAATGGAGTTACTGTTTTATTGCAATAATGACATACAATACAAGTTGACCAGTGAGACACATGTGCAACACCTAGGGTATCTTTATTGCCCCCCCCCCCACAGCAATAAAGATACCCCAGGTGCTGAACACTGTGCCACTTCCCAAGTCGTTACATTCTCTTTCGCACTGAACTTCCGTGTTGCCATGGTTGTGGCGAGACTGTAAAAGTTTTAGCGTTCGTAAAAGTTCAAAGGTGACGTATAGATGTGTTGGTGACCTCTGAAGGTTCCACAAGGCTACTCACAGCTTGGAGTCTGCCAGCGAGTGCTGTTTTGATGCTGGTGGAGGGTTCTTGATGCTGGCGAAGGGCTTTTGATGTTGACGAGGGGCTTTTGAAGTTGACGAAGGGTTCTTGATGCTGTTGCAGGGTTCTTGATGTTGGTGAAGTGTTCTTGATGCTGGCGAAGGGTTTTTTATGTTGACGAAGGGCTTTTGATGTTGACGAGGGGCTTTTGATGTTGACGAAGGGTTCTTGATGTTGACGAAGGGCTTTTGATGTTGACGAAGGGCTTTTGATGTTGACGAAGGGCTTTGATTGAGAGGTTTGATTTGACGAAGGGTTCTTGATGCTGTTGCAGAGTTCTTGATGTTGGTGAAGTGTTCTTGATGCTGGCGAAGGGTTTTTTATGTTGACGAAGGGCTTTTGATGTTGACGAGGGGCTTTTGATGTTGACGAAGGGCTTTTGATGTTGACGAAGGGCTTTTGATGTTGACGAAGGGTTCTTGATGCTGTTGCAGGGTTCTTGATGTTGGCGAAGGGTTCTTGATGCTGGCGAAGGGTTTTTTATGTTGACGAAGGGCTTTTGATGTTGACGAAGGGTTCTTGATGCTGTTGCAGGTTCTTGATGTTGGTGAAGGGTTCTTGATGTTGACGAAGGGTTCTTGATGCAAGTATTGAAACTACCAGTCATCTTATAATTCTAACAACAGTGTACATCGACCAGCTGATAAGACACACGTACAAAAGTCTGGTATCTTTATCCAACAACGTTTCGCTCACACAGTAGACTTCTTCAGTCAGATACATAGGTGACTAATATGGTAATGTAAAGATTATGTGGTCAGTCCATCAGCTTTAACAACGTATCTAGGATACGTCTTCAAGGTGTCACACTATTTTACATTTAACTTCTTTGAGCGAAACGTTGCTTCCTCTCGTTTCCACAATTTCCCTGCGAATGGAGGTACAAGGTATGAAATGCTGACACGATGGGAAATTATGTATAAGCACAAATGCTGTATGATGCGATCCTTTATTAACAACGTTTCGCCCACATAGTGGGCTTTATCAAGTCACCAACAGAACTACCTGGGTGAAGAGTGCACGAGTATGTTTATCCTCGTGTACTCCATACTCGGGTAGATCTGTTTGCGACCTGATAAAGCCCATTATGTGGGCGAAACGTAGCCAATGAAGGATCGCATGATACTGCATTTGTGTTTATTTTCCCCGCGAATATTACAAGCAGTTCATGATGTTTTTATCCGGAAGTCAGTACACGATATTTCCATTGGCTGGTAACTTGGTTACAACTGTGTGTTTTGTTCTTCGGGAGAGAGGCGTGTCTGCTGCTCTGGCTCGCTGTTTTGCTGCTCTGGCTCGCTGTTTTGCTGCTCTGGCTCGCTGTTTTGCTGCTCTGGCTCGCTGTTTTGCTGCTCTGGCTCGCTGTTTTGCTGCTCTGGCTCGCTGTTTTGCTGCTCTGGCTCGCTGTTTTGCTGCTCTGGGTCTCGCTGTTTTGCTGCTCCTGGCTCGCTGTTTTGCTGCTCTGGCTCGCTGTTTTGCTGCTCTGGCTCGCTGTTTTGCTGCTCTGGCTCGCTGTTTTGCTGCTCTGGCTCGCTGTTTTGCTGCCTGCTGGCTCGCTGTTTTGCTGCTCTGGCTCGCTGTTTTGCTGCTCTGGCTCGCTGTTTTGCTGCTCTGGCTCGCTGTTTTGCTGCTCTGGCTCGCTGTTTTGGCTTGCTCTGGCTCGCTGTTTTGCTGCTCTGGCTCGCTGTTTTGCTGCTCTGGCTCGCTGTTTTGCTGCTCTGGCTCGCTGTTTTTGCTGCTCTGGCACGCTGTTTTTGCTGCTCTGGCTCGCTGTTTTGCTGCTCTGGCTCGCTGTTTTGCTGCTCTGGCTCGCTGTTTTGCTGCTCTGGCTCGCTGTTCTGCTGCTCTGGCTCGCTGTTTTGCTGCTCTGGCTCGCTGTTTTGCTGCTCTGGCTCGCTGTTTGTGCTGGCCTTCTTGGCTCGCTGTTTTGCTGCTCTGCGCTCGCTGTTTTTGTCGCTCGTTGCTCTGGCTCGCTGTTTTGCTGCTCTGGCTCGCTGTTTTTGCTGCTCTGGCTCGCTGTTTTGCTGCTCTGGCTCGCTGTTTTGCTGCTCTGGCTACGCTGTTTTGCTGCTCTGGCTCGCTGTTTTGCTGCTCTGGCTCGCTGTTTTGCTGCTCTGGCTCGCTGTTTTGCTGCTCTGGCTCGCTGTTTTGCTGCTCTGGCTCGCTGTTTTGCTGCTCTGGCTCGCTGTTTTTGCTGCTCTGGCTCGCTGTTTTGCTGCTCTGGCTCGCTGTTCTGCTGCTCTGGCTCGCTGTTTTGCTGCTCTGGCTTCGCTGTTTGTGCTGCTCTGGCTCGCTGTTTTGCTGCTCTGGCTCGTTGTTTTGCTGCTCTGGCTCGCTGTTTTGCTGCTCTGGCTCGCTGTTTTGCTGCTCTGGCTCGCTGTTCTGCTGCTCTGGCTCGCTGTTCTGCTGCTCTGGCTCGCTGTTTTGCTGCTCTGGCTCGCTGTTTTGCGTGCTCTGGCACGCTGTTGTTGCTGCTCTGTGCTCGGCTTGTTTTTGCTGCCTGGCTCGCTGTTTTGCTGCTCTGGCTCGCTGTTTTGCTGCTCTGGCTCGCTGTTCTGCTGCTCTGGCTCGCTGTTTTGCTGCTCTGGCTCGCTGTTTTGCTGCTCTGGCTCGCTGTTTTGCTGCTCTGGCACGTTGTTCTGCATTACAATGTAGGTGTCATGACAGGCACGCCAGACGGTACCTGGGCAGTCATGACACAAGCTTCGCATGAGCGAACACTGAAAGCACTGAACCTGTTCTCCGTCAGGAAATGAAGCCTAAGAGATCTCACTGAAGCCTTTATGATACTGAATGGATTCGATACGCTCAAACACACTGGACTTTATTTGAAGTATCCCGTAGCGACTTCTAGTTCACACATTGAGGTCTGTGGTTCGATTCCCGGTTGGGATGGAAACATTAGGACGTGTTTCGTTAAGACACCTGCTGTCCATGTTCACCTAGCAGTAAAATAGGTACCTGGGTGTTAGTCGACTGGTGTAGGTCGCATAATCCAGACAAAATTGACCTAATTTGCCCGAAATGCTCTGCATAACAAGCGGCTTTCTATATAGTAGTATGTCATTGATGTCAGCTATGGTCTGTATACCTTGCACATGTGCTTGTAGAAATAAGGATTATTATTATTATTATTATTATTATTATTAGTAGTAGTAGTAGTAGTAGTAGTAGTAGTAGTAGTAGTAAGTA